ACCAGAGTAGAAATGGGGAGGAGTGTGTCTGAGGTTCCCCTACCTCTACCACCTCCTAAGCGCACTTGAGACAGGACCAGTGGCAGGGGCTCTGGCCCAGGGCCCTGAGGGTCCCACTGGCTCTGATGAGAACCTTGGGACAGCTCCCCAGGAAGGAACCACTTCTCCCAGGCGGGCAGGACCTTGCCAACTTCCCGGGCTAGAGGGACCAGCGCCCTCGGGAGGGCCGGGGTCAGAGAAAGAAGAGCAGGATGAGAACCAGAAGAAGCACTCCCAGCAGCACCACAATGGCACACCACTGTCGGCGGTCTGGGGGCAAAAGGGTCAGAGGTTACAAGGGGACAGGGTACCACCCTTGCAGCACCCCCCAACCACCCCAGTTGCCTCCCCAAAGGGACTTACCACTCGTCATGTGGGATACTTTGGCCATCTTCCTGAGGACCCCATCCATCCGGGACTGGGTGTGGTCCATCTCATGAGCGAAGGCATCCAGCATGCTGTCGATACCAAAATGGCATCAGCCCCCAAAATTCTGCACGCACTAGTGCAGCCACCTGAGGGCTCCCGGCCCACCCCTAGGATCCTGGCCTCACATGCCCTGCTCATCCAGTTCCTCCCCAACACGGCCGGACATGTGTTTCAGAACCCAGATGCTCCCAGACACCATTGCCAGCTGTTGGTCCTGTTGGTCCATGATCAGCTGCAGATCAGAGGAGTGGGAACGGCTGTCAGCAAGGGGCCCTGCGCCGTCCCCAGGCTCCTCCAGGCCAGGATCCCCAGCCACCCACACACACCTGCTGTGTGGCCTGCTGCTCCTCAAGGTAACGTGAGGTGGCTGAGGCCATGCTGGCATCGAGCAGGTCGCTGGATGACTTCTGGGCAACTGGCTTGCCCGTCAGCATCTGTGGGGGCACAGACCACAGGTTCAGGGAGAGGTGGGCCACTCAGAACAGAACCAGACACAGGTTTGTGGCAAATCTAGATGGTTGTTAGGAAGGTAGTCTTGGGAATGGGACAGCCCGGGTTCCCCAGACCCACCCCTTCCTTACTAGCAAGGTGACCCCAAGGCCATATCACTTGATGTCTCTTCGCCTCAGTTTCCTCCTCTGTAAAATGGGGGAAATTCCTGGGGCTGGAATGAGGATTTACCAAATTAATCCATGGAGAACATTGATCAGATAAACAGATGTATTTAAGAATTTGGACTTTGGGGCATCTGGGTGGCTCAGTCGTTAAGCGTCTGCCTTCGGCTCAGGTCATGATCCCAGGGTCCTGGGATCGAGCCCCGCATCGGGCTCCCTGCTCCGCGGGAAGCCTGCTTCTCCCTCTCCCACTCCCCCTGCTTGTGTTCCCTCTCTCACTGTGTCTCTCTCTGTCAAATAAATAAACAAAATCTTAAAAAAAAAAAAAGAAGAATTTGGACTTTAATCCTCAAGGCAGCACACCTGGAAAGCATGTGGGCACTGATACAGGACTCCAAACTCATGCAGGCCTCAGCCCCCCACCCTCCCAGATCCCACGAGGGGATGGAGACAGGCTGGTTTCACAACATGCAAAGAATGGACACAGGACACAGAAGGAAAAAGTGCGCCAACAGAGGCTGCTGGGAGACTGCTCACAAAAGGCATGAGCAGGCACACCCTTGGAGGGAAATGGTACGCAAGCCGACCGCAGAGGGGGATCCGCTCAGAGGCCAAGTTCACCCGCTCAGATGCCCAGGTACATACACAGAAACAAAGTAGGCATACATATATCCTGGAAACAGTAACACACCAAGCAAAAAAAGAAAAAGGAAATGGGCATCTAGACCCACACCAGGAGGCAGAAAGGATTATATACACAGAGAGGGCTCAGGTGTACACAGCCAGAAAGAGCAGGGAGGTGGACAGCCAGGAGACAACTGCACACAGAGAAGATGGGCACGGATACAGAAGGGACAGACATACATGCAAGGGGGACAGGTGAACAGACACAGAGGGTCAGGACTGCACCCAAAGGGGAGGGTCTCTCTGAGAGCCTCAGGTGAGGATGTTGGGTCTGGATGCCTTACCTCTCTATTATTCCTCTCCATGAAGGCTATGGCTGCCGGGCTGACCATATGGTCCTTCATATCCTGGGGGTGAGGACGCCATCAGTGAGTAAAGACACCCCAACCTCCCCACACTCAGGCCACCGGAAACTCTCCTCACCTGGACTGCCTCCCGCATCCGCTCCACGAACACCTTTCTCTCCTGCAGGTCTCCGGCTGGGAGCTTGAACTTGCCTGGGTTGGCTTCCACTATGCGTAAGCTCCGAGTCAGGAGTCAAGGCCAAAGCCAGACACAAGCCCCTCCTCGGCCTCAAGCCCTTAACTCCTCCCAGGTGTCCAGCCGCCCCCTGCCACAGGAATGGGCTCTCCCAGGACGCCTTGCAACCCCCCAGGATATCGATGGTCTCCTCCAGGTCCTCGAGGTCCCACTCGATGCTGCGAAGGCCATTCCGCAGCTCATTGGTCGTCCAGTCCAGCTCTTCGCGGCCGACCGCCGCGTCCTCTTGCAGGAGCTCGCACCAGCGCTGGTACAGCCCGCGGGCCGTGTTCACCGCCTTCTGCACCTCACTGCGGGCAGGGGCACACACATTGGTCACGCCTGGGGGCAGGCGGTCCTCCCGCCCGCCACCGCGCCCGCAAACGAATGGGGGGGGGCTCAGGATACCCTAATATCTCCCTGCGGACCCCTCCCACTCGGCCACGGGTCTACCCTGACCGGCGCACACCGACGGCCGTGCCCAGACCGCCTAGCACGCTCTGGCGGGCACGCGGGCACTAGCTGGCACGGGGACCGAGCACCCTCCTCCCTCCCCCCCTCATCGCTGTCACTCACCCTCGGACAACAAAAAATGGGTCTTCGAGAGACATGTCACACGCCCCCCCCCGCCCGAGGCCGAGCCCCACCTCCCCTCTCGGCTTTGGTAGCAGGTTCCCTCCCAGTAGAGAGGAAAGCTCAGCCACCCCCGCCCCCGTCACGTGACCCATGCCACCATCGAGAGCGGGAACGACAGGGTAGAGAGGCCTCGGAGGCCCCAAGTACGGAAACTTCCGCCCTTCTCACGGCCATCTTTATTATGGGCAGAGAAGGCTTCGCCTCCGCGCAGCCCACCGCCCGCAGGTGTCCCAGTTAAGTCTGGCTGGGTTGGGGGTCGGACCTCGTGATCTCCTGGTTGGAGACCCAGCCCCTGGGATTGTTGCTGCGCAACGTGTTTCCCTTAGGGGCAATGTGAATAATAACCTCCTTCAAATCAGAGATTATGGCTGGGGAAGGGGATCATTCGATTCAGAGATCCTCTTAACAGACTTCCTGAGCCTGCACCTTGATTCTGCCCTGGGAGATCGTCCCAGCCTGGGGTTGGGAAGGGCTGGAGGAAGAGGTGGTCCTCCCCACTCTCCCGCGGGGATGGAGGTGCGGAGTCTTGTTGGACTCTTCCTTCCTCTTTTTTTCCTACAGAGGAGGGGCGCCTCCAGATCGCCCTGGGGCGGGGTGGCTGAGTGGGGGCCCCCAGAGATGCTTCTGGGGTGTGGAGTCTCTCTGCGTCCGAGGCTGGCAGTCGCGGGAGGGGGTGTGGTGGTGGCTCTGAGGATGGTGTGTACAAGGAAGTCCTCTGCGTGTGGGGTCTCCATCTAGGGAGGCGCCAGGAATGTCTGGAGAGACAGAGTTGACCCTAGTGTGACAGAGGCGCTCTGTGTGGGGTCTCCGGAAATGCATTTTTTCGGAGGTGAGCCATCACCTGAGTGCGGTCGCGGTCTGTTTCTGGAGACATTTGGGCGAGATGGCTGAAGTTCTTGGAGAGTCTGTGCGCTCCTGTGCTTCAAAGTCGCTGAAGAGAATCTCAGAGATAGCGCCTGGGCTGGGGATGTCATTGTGGATTCGCCGAGGTGGTGAAGGGGGAGACGGGTGCGTCCTCAGCAGGTCGCCTTAGTGTGTGGCAGGATCGCTGAAGAGGGACAGTTTAAACAGCAAATAATTCCTGAGTCCCCAGGTGCGGGGGGTGGGGCGGGGGGGGGGGCGGGGGGGGGGGGGGGGAGAGGGAAGAAGCAGGAATACCTGGGAGAGAACCTTGTAGGGAGAAATAATAATGGGGTCTCTATGGCGGAACAAGGATGAAGGGGTACTCAGCGAATCGCCCCTCGTATTGGCAAGGTCTTTGTGGAGGGTTTCAGGGAGTTGGCGTCAGTGGAAGCCCTGAGATCGCCCCTATCTGCCGGCGGGGGTTTTCCCGGAGGCGTCACGCCTTCTGGCCTCGGGAGCCCGCGGAGCTGGACTCTGGTCCGGAAGCCGGGGACTACAGCCAGTCCTAGCTGCCGGGAGACCGGGAGGGTAAGGGAGTGGGCGTGTTCGGAGGCCAAGGCACCGCCCCCGCCCGCCCGGAAGGAGGTTGCCACAGCTCCGAGTGGAGATCCCGGCCCCTGTCCTTATATGGGCAGCCGGAAGCGGCTCGCGCGCCTGCCCTACGTCATTATACCCAAATTTAGTCGTGGAAGTCTGGCGCTTCCAGTGGCCGGAAGATTCTGCCCGCCCGCCGGCGGCTGGGGGAGGGGGTGAAAGGGGGAAGAGAGGAGCCTTCACTTAAAGGGCCCTTGCCACGAATGAACGGAGCTGTAGGAACAATTTTGCATCTTATTTTGGAGGAACAGGAAATAGGTTTTCTTGGAGCGATAGGGCGTAGCGGAGGGTGGGGCCGATGTTTTCCATCTATCTGGTCTGTCTCTGCGTTGCTTAGTTTACACCTCCTACCCCAGCCTCGGTTCCTCGGGCGCAGAGCCACGTGTTCACCCGGACTGTCCTGTTGCCCGGTCCTCAGTCTTGCGAGTACCTAGCCCACCCGTGGAGCTCGTGTACAGGGAAACTGGGGGCGTGTCCGGTGTGGAGTGCAGGAATGGCAGCCCGGGCTGCGCTCGTGTCTGCAGACATCCGCTGCCGGTGGAGTGGGCAACTATGCCCTGGAGCCATAAGCGCTGCCCGCCGCCTCACTGCCTACAGACAAGGGGACTGAGGAGGGCTGTCTTACGCTAGAGAGACGCAAGAGCTGGAGGCCCCAGGGGCCTACTCGTTCGTTTAGCAAATACTGAACGAGTCACTCTGTCTCGATTTCCCCACCTGAAGAAATCAGGTATAACAGTACCCTCCGCGGAGTGGAGGTGAGGCATCAGTGAGGTTATTTAGTAAAGGAAAGCCTTTAACAGCGCCTGGCGGGTATAGTGCTTAGTAAGTGTTAGCACGGTTATTGATTCAAAAAACATTAATCGGTTACTGATTCAAAAAAACATTAGACACCTGGTAGATGCTAGGAACTGTGCCCACGGGGGATGTACCGGTTCGAACCCCGGTCTTCCCCGGCGCGAAAGGAAACTTGCCGCCTACAGCCAGCTGCGGTTTCAGACGGAAGCACGTGGGTGGACTCTGCCCCGCATCCGCGGTCCCCCTCTTCTGGGCCTGCGCGCTAGCGTATTAAGGACCCTGAGAAAGGAGAGCACCCCGAGAGCTCCGCGTGGACCGGGGGACGCTCCTCCTCGTCCCGACTCCTGTCCCTTCTCCCCCACTCGGTAATTTCCACCCTGTCGCTTTAAGGAGTCTCTCGCCGCGGCGCGTTGGGAAGCCCGGATGCGGCTCTCTGATTGGGCGGGGCGGCTCGGTGACTTCACTCCGGGTACAAAAGGGCCCGGGTGGCGGGCGCCGGGGCAGAGCGTCCTAGCAGTGTCACGGCGTGGGTTGGCCTGAGGGGAGAAGCGTGAGCGAGCGCGTTGCCCGGAGTGCACCTGCTACCTGTACTGCCCAGCCAGGGAGTCCCCCCCGCCCTCGCCCCCGCCGTCGAGCCGCCATGGAAGTGCAGAAGGAGGCGCAGCGCATCATGACTCTGTCGGTGTGGAAGATGTACCATTCGCGCATGCAGCGCGGTGGCCTGCGGCTGCACCGGAGTCTGCAGCTATCGCTGGTCATGCGCAGCGCCCGAGAGCTCTACCTCTCAGCCAAGGTGGAAGCCCACGAGCCCGAGGTGCCCTTGTCCCCCGTTCGCTCCCCTGATCCTCGCCTGCACCAGTCGCGGGAATCGGAAGCTGTAGCCGAGGCAGCGCCCCCCGACGGTGAGCAGCCCTCTCCGGAGCCCATGGACACGCGGGAGGCGCCGCGAGCCGAGGAGACCCCAGCCCGCTGTGCCCCGCGCCCCACTACAAAAGTCAGCCGAAAGCGGCGGAACAGCAGCCTGAGTGACGGCGGGGACGTCGGACTGGCCCCAAGCAAGAAAGCCCGTCTTGAAGAAGAGCAGGAGGAAGGAGCCTCTTCGGAGGTCCCTGATCGCCTGCAGCCACCTCCCGCGCAAGCCGAGGGCGCCTTCCCCAACCTGGCGCGCGTCCTCCAGAGGCGCTTCTCGGGCCTCCTGAACTGCAGCCCCGCCGCCCCCCCGACGGCGCCGCCGGCGTGCGAGGCGAAGCCGGCCTGCCGCCCGGCGGACAACATGCTGAACGTTCTCGTGCGGGCCGTGGTGGCCTTCTGAGGGTCCCCGAGCGGCGCTACCGGAGCCCAGAGCGCGGGCCGAACCGTCGGCCGGAGTGCGCAGACCCGAGGCGAGGCCCACCCCCGGGGGAGGGCCCGCCGAAACCGTGGAGAGGAGCTGCCGCCCGGGCTGCTGAGAGGCCTGAAGAGGGACTCTGCCCCCGGGGAGCCGTCGCCGCCTCTGTGCAGCGGCCGCGCCGAGGAGCCTGAGCCGGGAGCGCGAGCGCCTTCCGCCGAGAGCTGCTGCGCCCACAGGTGCTGTCTAAACGGACTGGGACGTGGACCTTTCCCTCTCCTTCTGGGACTGGGAGCAGGGAGGCTTGGTTCTTGAAACTCCTCAGGGTCGGACTTTTATTTTTTACTGGGAGCTGTGCTGCCCTTTTCAAGGTTTTTCAATAGTTGGTGTTTGCATTTCCAATCTCAGAGAATTCCAGGCAGGCGCTCCCCTTCCCCCACCCGTGGCATACTTGTGCAAGCGGTCATCGTTGCGTCATGGGGCAGACGTGGGGAGCTTCCTGTTGCCTTGCGTGGGTGTGGGGCCTGGGAGGAGGGTCTGGGGTGTGGACCGCCCTGGGGAATGGGAGGAGGGCGTCCTGAGTCACCTCGCCCCGCTTGCTGCGGGTTTGTGCCCCGCGCCCCTGCGCCTTCGGCTGAATAGCGGGGGGAAGGGTGGGGGGCTGATCTAATTTCAGGTTACAGTTTTTCTCACCTGGTGCGTTGGAGGTGGGAAATGGTCACAGTCTCAAGCGTGACCATCCCTCAGACACACAGACACAACCCAGACGATCCTGGTCTGAATCACAAAAATTGGTGGGGGTGTTTAGAGCGCTGTAAGGCTGAGCTGGGACCAGTTGCTGGTGGGACTGGGCCAGTGTGGGGAGGGGAAGGTTCTTGCCAGGGCGTTCTGAGGCCTGTTTACCTTTACTGTGGTGGATTCTGTTTAACTTCATCTATCTGGCCTCTTGCTAGAAACGCCAGATAAAATAAAAGACCATTTGAATAAAGTCTGTGCTGCCCGTCTGGTTTTCTTCCCTGATGGGGGAGGGGCAGGGTTACGGGGTCAGGAGCTGGCGGCGCCTTGCTGGGGCCCCAGAAACCGGTCCGACCGGCTATCACGTGGGCAGAGTGGGCGGGATGGGGCTGGGCCCCCTTTTCTTTGCCAGAGCGTTTCCGTGCTGGGTGCCCTGGTGTTCCGGACTCCTTAAGCTCCCCCATATTTGGGAGTTTCTTCGAAATTCTACAACTCCAAGGGGGGGGGTGGGCTTGCCGAATTTGAGAGGTTTAGGGGAAAATTCTGTTGGGTACGGTGCCCCAGGCGGAATTGGGAGGGCCACGCCTCCTTTGGAGACTCTGGAAGGATGGCGGATCCCCCCCACCCCCCACCCCCAGTTGACCAACTGAATCCGCTTTGGCGGGGGCCCCACGGCTTGCGGGGCAGCTGAGGTGAGCTTTGGAGCGCCCTTTACAACCCAGTTCTAATCTCTGGCGGTATAACTGTGTGACTCAGGCTGGGAGGTGAGTTCTCAGTCTGTTTCCTCATCTGTGAAGTGGGCCCCTAAACAGCTTTCCCGCGAGGCGGCTGTAGATTTAGAGATGGCCCGTGAGAGCCCTAGTGATTTGATTTGGCTCCATCCCAGCTCCATTTCGGTCACCCCAGAGGAGAAAATGCTCATAGTTTACCCACTGCTGATTTAAGAGACGGACCGTAAGGCGCTGCCCCAGGGCGGGTGGCGGGGTGGCTGTTGGGGGGACAAAGGAGCCGCAGGTGCGGGCGGTGAGGGCGGCGGGAGGCTCCGGGAAAGCGGCCGCCCCGCCTCCAGGCGTCTGGCTCTGGCGCTGCGAGCCTTCCGCGACCCCGGGGGACCGGACCCCGAGGCCCTAGGGTGGAAGGAGGAGGGTGCGGTGGAGGGCGGACCCGCCCCAGAACGCCCGCCTCCGGCTCCCCTCCTGCCTCGTCCACCCACCCCACTCCCCACTCCGTGCCTCCCTCAGGGTTCCCCCAGGGGAATCCAGCCTCGCTCGCCTCCACGGCCACCGGATTCTTTCCTGGGAAACATGGGAGACTTTAGCGCCACCCACTCGGGGTCTTGACCCATAACACCCCGGAGGGACGCTGGGTGGCGGGAACCCCACCCCCCTGCGGCAGTTCAATGCGTTCGCGTGGGAGCAACTCCCCCGAGAGCCTAACCCGCTCCGGGAAGTCCCTGGCGGCTGGGGAGGGGGCCTCACTGTGCATCCTGTCGCAGGAACCTCCTGGCCCTTCCTTCCTCCGGGGGAAGCGGCCTGCCCGATCCCCGCTCCTGCCTCCCGGGGGGTTTTCCGGGCTGGGGGCTGAAGGTGATGCGGTGGGAGACTGGAGAAGCACCCCCCCACACTTCCCTTTAAGATATAGCCCTTCCCGAGACCCCCATTTCACCCTTCAGAATAGGCCACATTTGTCACAATAACCAACTCTGAGGATGTTTGGAGTTTTCACACCTTTACGTGGCATTGGATTATTGGGGCAGACCCTTGGGGGGGGGGGAGTAATCAATGGGACAATAGCTGTGACAACAAAAAATGTCACATATCCCTTGACCAGTGGATTCTCCAGGGAGCCCCAGGCCTGCAGCAGGAGGCTCCAGAACGGTGTCCACAGCGCTGTCCAAACTGGCACAAACTGGAAACAACCTACATGCTCATCCAACCCGACTGGTCTGGTAGAATGTGGACTACCCATGCCTCCCCAGAGAATAAATGGCCTGAGTGGGACAGGTCTACACACCCTGGCAACACGGATACCTCAGGGCCATGATGCTGAGTGACAAAGGCCAGCTATAGAAGTTGTGGGGGCAGAACACCAATACTGGAGCCAGACTACCAGCTCTTCTTGCTGGCTGTGCAGCATTGAGCAAGTCACTGCACCTCTCTGGGCCTCAGTTTCCCCAGCTGTAAACTGTGGACAGTAACAGTCCCTACCTCTCAGGTTCATTGCGAAGAGGAAGTGAGATACTAGTATAAAGGGCTTAGTGGAACGCCTGGCACACCGGAAGTGTTATTTTATTATTGTTAGAACCCAGGATGATACAGTGCCGGCCATTTAGAAGCACATACAGCCCTATGGACATATAGGTAATGTGTATACAGATGCTGTGCTCATCCCAGAGAGCTGGAAAAATAGTTCCTGCCTCCAGTAGCTCGGTATGAACAAGGGTCAGCCTCCCCTCTCAGCTCCAGAGTTTGGTCTCATCCTAGTGATTTGACAGGGTTGACTCTTCCCTCTTCCGGGCCCCCACACTTCCAGTTTCCATCCCCCTCAGGCCACGGGCCTCTGTCTACACTCACCCCTTGGTAGGTAGTCTCATTCAGTCTTAAGGCTCTAAATGCCATTCCATGCTGACTCCCATACTTCGCTCTCCATCTTGGACCTGCCCCCCCAACCCCCCAGACTTTCTGTCCAACCCCCCTCCCCATGTCTCCTTGTGGGGCACTAAGGTATTCCAAACATAACAAGGCCCAAAGAGAATTCTTGCTGTTTCCTGGCAGCCTCCCAACTGAGGAATCCTCCTTGAATCCCTTTTTCTCCTTCCCTCACACGGCACCCAGTCACAGGTGCTGTCAACTTGATCCCTCACCCCACTCCCCTCTCCCCACCTTCAGGACTCCCATCTAAGTGTAAGCTGCCATCACCTCTCACCTGGATCAGGGCAGTGGCTTCCTCCCTGCCCTTGTCCCCACAATCTGTTCTACACGGCAGCTACAAGGATCTTACAAAATGCAAATTGGATCATTTCACTCTCCAGCTCCCCTCTGCTGCATCCACAGTGGCCTCCTTCCTGCTCAGAGAACAGGCCAAGCATGGTCCAGCCCAGGGTCTTTGCACTTGTTGTTCCTTCTGCCTACCATGCTCTTCTCCCAGACACCCACCCATCCATCCTTACTTTCTTCAGATTTCTGCTGAAAAGTCACCTGCTCGGAGTGGTCTTCTTTGGCTGCCTGATCTAAAACAGCTCCCCATTCTGCCACTCTGCTCCTTTGCCCCTCTTCTTGGCCTTCCTTAGGTCACTGCCCACCATCTGAAAGGGTAAATTTATGTTCTAGTTAGCATCTGTGCCCTCATTTGAATGTCACTTCCACGAATGCCCAACACGGGCCTGAAAAGAGTGAATGAGGCTGTCTGGGCTAAGCAAGTGCTAAGTGCTTAATATTTATTGTCTCATTTAATCAGTGGCTTCTCGTGACTCTTAGAATAGAATTTACCAAATTTCAGACAGTTGTGACAGGCAGGATTTTTGTCCTATCTCCATACCGACTGTACTATTTATCTAAAATTTTTTCTTAAAGCAACTCACTTGTTAATCACTAACCATACTTAGAAGGTAACAGTTAATGAAAGTTACAGTGAAAACAAAACAATGTCACAAGATCCTGCTGAAACAGACAGCTTTCTTAGGAAGGGAGATTAGCAAGAGTTAAAGACACATTATTAGGATAGGGAGTGGCCTATTTTTAGTCAGAAAACTAGGTGAAGACTGAAAGCTGAAAAGAGGGAAACTGAGGGATTCATTCTCTTCCTTAAACATTAGCATTAAATCACTTTGCCCACTGTTCCAAGGTTAGGAAAATTCTGCTTCTGGAAGAGAGACAAAGCTACAAATGCCCCCCATTTTGGTCCAAGACTCCTGTTTACTGACACTCAGATCAAGAGCTACTTTTTTTTTTTTTTTTTTTTTTTGGTAGTATCACAGTTGCAATTTTACATTCGTTTCTGGGTTTGTCTCTTCTAGCCTATGGCCTCCATGTGAGGGCAGAAACAAGTCTAGCAGGTGCTTACTAAATGGTTTTTGTGAACGAACGATGCATTTGCAACTCTCCTTTGAGATCGGTCCTCTGAACTCCACTTCTTACGGATCGGGAAACTGAGGCCAGAGAGGATCGCCCTGCAGGAGAGCACGTAGGGGACAGCTCTAGTCGTGCCCACCATCCCAAGATCCCCTCCCCTCTCCTCTGGGCAGGACAGGCGCCCCGCTGAAGCCTCCACAGAGCTGGGAAAGGGCTGGGCCACAGAAGCAGCACCCAAACCGGTTTACCCGGTTCCAGGAACCTGAGCGAGGTTCGCGCGTCGGAGAAGGGGAGACGCAGGCCTTGGCCAGGCGGGGTGAGGACCGGACTCGATCTCCGCGAGGAAATTTGAATCCCAGGCAGGGCTGTCAGGGTCCGTAACTGGCCACAACGCGGGGCGGAGCGATCTGGGTGTCGATCACAGACGGGGGCGGGACATAGGAGTTTACCCCTGTCTCGCGCTCTTCTCCCGTCCCGCCCCTGCGCGCTACACCAAGTGACTTCCAAGAACTCCCGGTGTAGTGTGTGACCCGGGCCACGCCCCTGGCCCCCAAACCGGTCCCTTCCGGAACCCGCCCAGGCCCTCCCGGCCTGGCCGCCCACCCCCAAGCACGCCCCGCGGATGCAGGGGCGGGACTTAGGGGCCGCGCCGGAAGGCGGAGGCCGCGCGGGGTGCGCCTGGGGCTGGGGGCCCGCCCGGAATCAGGTAAATCGCGGAAAAAGCGGAAGGGAAATGGGGATCGCCAGAGTTTGAGGCTCACGCTCCCCACCGTCGTCGTGGAGGCTGCTGAAACCCCCATGTGTCCAGAGGAGCCCAGAGCCCCCACACCAGTGTCTAGTGGAGCTCAGATCCACATACCTACGTTCGGGGGAGCCCACACCTTCCCCACCTTGTGTCCAGAGTTGCTCTCACTAGGGTACTTCTGTTTCCTGAGGCTCAGCTTAGGGCTTTATTCCCCCTGCCTCTGTGTTAAGGGGAGTTTAGGTCTCCCCAGGTTTGTGTCCAGGAGAGCTGAGCCCAAGGCCTAAGGCCCTCCACCTACTTGTGCAGCTTGAGATCTCCCCACGCCCACCCCCTTGCCTGACCCTTCATAATGCAGCCCCTCCCAGCAGAAATCCGCACCCCCTCCAGCCGTTTTTATTTCTCGTGGCCTTCCAACCTCCCGGCCCCATCGGTCGCGGA